CGTCGCAATCTTTGATAAGTGGTGGTGGACCGTCTATGTGTGTTCGTTGCCACGGGACGATTGTAATGCTCTAAACATGGACGACAGCGTTGCACTTCAGGATCCGTTTTTAAATGGTTGGGTAATCGATCCCACAGTAACTCCACATAATTCTCAAATTCTTGTAGAAGAATCTTCGGTATGTACTGCAATTGCTCGGCGGTAAAATCGAGAATCTCATGCTTATTCGTCAGTAAGAAAATCCTTTTTGTGATAACAACAACGATCCGCTTTTTACAGTAAACTGTGTGAATCGAGCGCGCTTGCTCGGGGATATAAATAGTGTTGAAAAACTCGCTCGCGCTACAGTGCGCACGCGCGTTACATGAGTAAATGCAATTCGTACGACAATCACGAACGATAGGAGTGTCAAATCTCGACCGTAAGACGCGACTCATGAGACTCCGATGGAGAGATTCGTAGACACGGCCCTCTACTACCGAATACAATTCATTGCATCATCTGTGGACCGTCCAACTGTGGGAAAACGAACGCTTTGATAAGTTTGATAGAATGTCCACACGGTGTACGTTTCGAAAACGTGTACGTGTATTCGAAATCTCTCTTTCAACCGAAATATCAATATTTGGAAGAACTGCTCGAATCGATAAATGCTATCGGTTACTACGCATTTTCCAACAATCGTGACGTCATACCACCGAAGGAGGCACTTCCCAATTCAATATTTGTATTCGATGATGTGGCCTGTGATAATCTGAATACTATTAGAGAATATTTTTCTATGGGTCGACATACGAACATCGATTGTTTTTATCTCTGTCAGACGTATGCAAAAATACCGAAACATCTGATACGTGATAATGCAAATTTTTTAATACTATTCAAACAGGATGGTACCAATTTGAAACACATTTATAACGATCACGTAAACACTGATATATCGTATGAGAATTTTTGCACGTTGTGTCAGTTATGTTGGCAACGTAAATACGGTTTTGTGGTAATAGACAAAGATAGCGCATTACGCAACGGTAGATACAGACGAGGATTCAACGATTTCGCAGTAGTGTGAAAAAATCATCTGTAGTGTATTTTGTGAAAATGAACTCGTGAGCAGTACTTCTTTACCGTTACGATAACATGGTTGGAACGAAAAGTCTCTCCGAACGGGAGAGAACGGCGAAATTGATCGCGAAGACACGCGCGTCGATTCGTAAGAAACACAGAGCATTGAAGACTGGTATAATGGAGAAGGAGATCGTTCTGGAGAAACAATTAAAACCTATTATCGAACCGTTGAAACAAATCGTTGGAAACACTGCACGTGAAGGTAAACCTGTTGAAACTACATTTATGAAGAGTAAGCGAAAAAATAAACGTAAGTACAGCGATGATGAGGAAGATGATAACAACAACGGCGACGACGATGATAATGATGTAATTCCAACACAAATTACTCCTCAGCGTCTTCCATGGAACGAACGAGTAAATAAGAAACGATCAAACGTTATGCCTGATTCATCTATAATTCATTCCACACCAATAGAATCACAACAACAACAAGTAACTCCTTTTGACTCGCAGGATGAAGAAGTTTTTGAAACCGGTGATAATCCATCTCTTGAAACGTCTGTCAGACAGGCGTTAAACACCCCTCAAGGTCGTCAGAGACTGCAAAGTCAATTAGTGCCATTAGGACAAGTATATGTGAATATTCTTTTAATTGGTAACGCGAGAAATGAAATCGATCTTGTCTACGGTGTTTATTTCTATGAAAACGGCACGATGTTGGGAAATAAAAAATTTAACGTGGATACGGACGACACTATAATCATAGATGGAGAGAGATACAAAGGTACACCGGGTCTATACGAGCTGATCTTCAAGAAGATTCCAAACGATGCTATCTACACCGAGAATGATAAACAAACGTACAAACATATATTATTGACGACGAATGCTCACAGACGTGACAATAACGCTAGAATGCCTATTAAGAGTAACAAGGGACACAAATACAAAAACATTGCTCCGCTCTTAGTTACAAGAAGTGTCAGTGGCACGAGTATTGGTTCAGGTATAAAGACAAATATGTATACCATCCGCTGTGAGATTGACTGACAATGAAATAGATTACGTTCATTGGGACGATCCCAACGAGTTGGTAGATCGTCTTCAATTGCTCGATGCTTCTCGTCGAGCGGGTAATAACGCTCACGACAATGAAATTTTGTCGATAATCGAAGAACTTCGTGAAACTGGATTAATTATAAATTGAATTGTTGTAATAAAAATTGTGACAGTTTTCGCGCGAACTCGATACGATGTCTGTGAATAAATTTGGTATGCCTCTGAGGAGAGACGATAGCGATGAAATTGAAAAATCACGATCGTTAATAGAATCGTTACGGAATTATGTACACGACAGTGGGCTCTGTCTGAATCCGGATCATTACGACGCGAAGGAACGAAAAACGTGGCCGCGCCGGAGTTCGACACCGACGCGGTAAACAAAAGCTATGTCGAACGCACGCTTCGAGGTACGCGAAACGAGATCGAAGAATCGTTTAGAATAACAAGGAGAGATGTACAGGAAGTGCGTAACGATATGGAGAAAATGCGAAGAAACGTGGAAGAGATTAAGTATCTGAATCGAAGTGTAACTGCACAAATGAAAAATGTAGTGACTAATGAGATATTGGAGAATTCGTTCAAATACCGACTTCAAGGTGTGGTGACGAATGAAGAGTTGGAAAAAACTATTTTACAATTACGTCGCGAAATGGAAAGAAGAACTGCGTGAAACTGAGTTTAATTATAAAGTGAATAGTTTTGATGAAAATCGCCACAGTTTCGTGTGAACTTGATACGATGTCTGTGAATAAATTTGCCTATGAGGAGAAACGAAATCGAAAAGTCGCGATCGTCGATGGAAACTTTACGAAATTATGTATACAACAATGGACTCTGTTTGAATCCAGATCATTACGACGCGAAGAAACGAAAAATAGAACACGTGGCCGCGCCGGAGTTCGACACCGACGCGTTAAACAAAAGCTATGTTGAACGCGCGCTTCGAGATACGCGAAACGAGATCGAGAAATCATGTGGAGCGATAAGGAGCGATATGAAAAAGGTGCAAAGAAACGTGGAAGCGATTCAACGTTTGACTCGAGATGTAACTGTACGAATGATGAAAAATGTAGTGACTAACGCGACATTGAAGAAATCGTTCGAAACGATAGGGCGAGATATGATCGTACACGCGCTTCGGGATACGCAGAAAGATATCTCGAACGATGTGGAAAAGGTGCGAAACAACGTGGAGGAGGTCTCGAAAAGTGTGAGCGCGCTATTGATGAAAGTGTCCAACGAGATTCAGCGTGGTGTAACTGATCTGTGTCAACAATTGCGTAATATAGCGACGTTCGAAACGACGGGGAGAGATATGATCGTACGCGCGCTTCGGGATACGCAGAAAGATATCTCGAACGATGTGGAAAAGGTGCGAAACAACGTGGAGGAGGTCTCGAAAAGTGTGAGCGCGCTATCGATGAAAATGTCCAACGAGATTCAACGTGATGTAACTGATCTACGTCAACAAATGCTTAATATGGTGACGAAAGAGATGATTCAGCGTGGTGTAACTGATCTGCGTCAACAATTGCATAATATAGCGACGAAAGAAATGTTGGAGACTAATGAAATTCAACGAGGTGTAACTGATCTACGTCAACAAATAAATAATACGGTGACGAAGGAGACGTTAGAAAAATCGTTTAAAACGACAGGAAGAGATATAATCGTACGCGCGCTTCAAGATATGCAGAAAGATAGTTTAAAAGTGTATAGTGATATGGAAAAAAAGTATCCGACGCTGTCACACATCTGACTTGAGATGTAACTGCACGAATGAAAATTGTAGTGACTAACGAGATATTGGAGAAATCGTTCAAAACGACCGGGAGAGATATGATCGTACGCGCGCTTCGGGATACGCAGAAAGATATCTGGAACGACGTGGAAAAAGTGCGAAACAACGTGGAGGAAGTCTCAAA